AAGTCAAGTCTCTATATAACTGGAATGCTGTCCAAGATAGAGTAGGAGTAAATTGTTTCTACTTCCAATAGAGGATTCAATTCTAGTTGAATCTTTCAATAATTCAAATACATTGTTGTTTGGTGATTTTTTTTTTTCTGGGATAATTTCCAGCTTACCTATGTATGTTAGAGTAACAGCACTGCAGATTTGTCTGAGTGGACACACTGCGTGTCCTACTAGGGAACTGACCTCAGACATAAGTTTAATGTGTAACTGGAAACTGCACTGTAAGGCTGTGCTATTTTTTCCCTGAAACTCAGGTGGTACCCTTGAAAAACAAGTTCAGCATGTTGAAAGAGTCCTCAATTTGCAATGTAATGAAAATGGATTTAGCGTGCACATGAAACAGTTAATTTATTTTCATTACAAGTGACAGTTCTGAGTCACCATCGTGCCCAGGTGATGAATAAGAAGTGCTTAAGGAATACAAACCCACACCTTACCAAGGATACAGCCTCTAAGCAGTGACCCTGGAAGTGGCTGTGTGGTTTAGATAACTACAAAGTGGTTTCAATACAAACCCAGAGTCACAAAAAACGTGCACGGCCATACCACTGTCTGAATAAATAAACCAACTCTGCTGGAACATTCTAAAAGGAGCAAAGCCAGGAGTGATATTTATAAGCTAAAGAAACAAAGCATCAGTAATGAAAGGAGAAATAGTGAACCATAATCAAAATCACTGAAATAAAGAACTCAAGGTATATTTCCCCTGAACACATATGCACGGTTATATGCATACAAGCTCAAAAAATTTCAATGTCCTGATGGAAGAACTGAGTTTTCATTTGTTCCTGAACTTCTGTTATCTGTCAAGGGGACATTTTTTGTCTGTCTCTGCAGGTTCTACAAGCACACTGCTGATACCGGTCTTCATGAAAACTTAGCTTAGAAAGAACCACAGTCAGTGCAGCTGCTTCCTCCTCCACATTTTGAAGATTACAGATAATAGAAGTAATATACAAGAAAATGATTCATGGCTCAGAAATCAAAGTCTTACTGGGAGGATAAAAACTGTACAGCAGAGGAGATGGAAAAAACATAAATCTGAGCTGTGTAAAAAAACATCTCCCCTTTAAATTCTGTCTTTGCTATAGAGGAAATGGGACAAAAGGAAAATAGACTCAAGGAGAAAAGCAAATCTAGAGCAGAATAGTCAGTGTATTCCCCTCTGGGCTTATAAAGAACAAACTCAAATCAAAATCCTTGGAAGTCCTTGGGAAGAGGATACTCTTAGCAGGTAGCAAATATAGAAGCTTTTTGAAAACTGGTATTTTCCTAAGGGGAATGAAAAAAATTCTTCAGAAGGTGCCAGAAGCCACAAAAGTAATTTTGATTCAATATGATTATCAATAAAATCTCTGTAGCAATAGCCCCACCATGGCAAGCTAAGTTCTTCAGTTTGGTTTCAAAAGAAATTACCAGATCTGCTTTTGAAGCCTTGATTTACCACCTCAGGCTGAGCTTAGATACTAAAAACCCCTCAGTACACTTTTGCTCTGGGAAACGACTCAAGGTGCCCCTTTGCATTACAGTGAAATAGCATAAAGAGATGGACAAGGTATTTCTATTACTGGTTGGCCCAGGTTAAATGCAGGGCTGCTGTGGAGTCAGCTAATAAGTGTTAGAAAAACTGTAATAGGTCTGTAAAGGGATTTTAATCAGTGTCTCAAGGTTAACTGAAGATTAAAATTATGAATTTGTCATTCTATTGTGCCCTTTTTTCTAGATCCTGCACAGAATAACTTTACTTCAGGGAAAACAAGAGTAGTTCCCTTATCCAGTATTACTGTGGAGACTAAGGACTGATTTTCTTTGTTTATACTTTAAATTCCAGTTCTGCTAAGAGGATATTGAGATTGTGCTGATAAACTGCCACTGTCATTCTGTTAAGTAGAACACTCACAGAGCTGTGGGCAGGAAGGACTGCTTTGCTTTAAGTCTGTGTAGAGTGGACATCTGCTGAAAACCTTGCTTGATCTTCTGAATCGTTGCAATACAGTCAAAACTCCCCACCAAATAATTTCCTCTTTGTGCACCTGTTCTCTATGAAATTGGATAAGTTTGCTTCCCTGGTAGATCACCACTTAGAAAAATCATTAGATGTTAAGAAATTCCTCAACACTAAAATGGCAAATAGAAAAGAGACATCCTGCATATTTATTCCAAGGTGCAAAACAGGCCCCAGACCAGATTTATGGGATTTTTGCCACAGTGACTCGATGAGACTTCATCATTCTCATAGAATTCAGCCACTTAAGCAGATCTTTAGAGGGGTAATAAAGGCCCTTTTCGCTGACTATTTTTCATAATGCAAGTAGTGTTTTGTGAGGTGGAATTAAATATGAAAAATACTTCTGTAACACAGAGGTGTGTAATCATGCATAAACCAGTTTTCTGATGCTTATCTCCAACAATAGCTGCTATTCAAGAACAGCCTTAATCAGGTAATAAATTAGGCAAAAATAAAAATGCAATCATCATTTATGGGACCAAAATAAAACCTATATTTCTGAAAGAAGAATATAGTCATTTTTGCAACAGGAAAACAGTTATGATTCTGCAATCTTCCTTGTTTTGTGTCAAAACAAATTGCACTGAGATGAATTATTTTCAGGTTTACTTTGGTCAGTCAATAGTGTAGGAACAGTTAATTGTTGTGGCTTCTGCTGATTAATGGATCCTTGAGAATTTGATGAGCATGGGAAGAAGTGAATTGTATGAAATGACAAATATCTTTGCTTTCTTTAATCCTCTTGGCTCTCAGATATTGAGCTTTAACTGACTCTTTTTAAGGGCTGCAAAGTCCATTAGCTCTGTGGTACTCAATGCTGTACTCAGGTACAGCTGTGAGTTGCCCCAGGTGACATGTCTGTGTCCCTAGATGTTACAAAATGTTAGCTATGAGGTTTGTGGCAAATTATTCTGCAATTCTTCTGGGAAAATATCACTTCATGTGCTGCAAAATATCACTGGACTATGGATTAATGCAACACATGGTATGGACAACCCTCAGGACAAGACAAATTAAATTGTCACAGTATTGGCTGCAACCACAATGAGGAATTCTTCTTAATAGGTAAACATTTATTTGGCTGATTACTTTTTATACCTTCCTTGCAAGCAAAACAAAAATTTGTATTTCTTAGTCTTCATAACTAGAACTGAATTTCATTTAAACATGCAACTGAATTTAACTGAACACATGAACTGTGCTGAGATGACACTCAACATCTTTAGTACTAATAAGGTTGGTTTTGATGCATGCAACACACACACTCACACACACACACACACACACACACACACACACATACACAAATAAATTGGTTTATGGTTTGCTGTTGTTGTTTTTAATCCTTTCCCAGAAATTTGGTACTTTGGATCTTTCTTCAAAATTGGAATAAAAGCACAGTTTAACATTTTGGAATTTTCTCTGGAATGGAAACCTTGTTTACCACAGGGTGAAACAGCAGCTGTTGCATACATTGAAGAAAGAATACAAAGGGGAATGCTTAGTAAATGCACTGGGAATATAAAAAAGGAGCTTGGCAAAGGACTGGGGTCTATACTATCTCCTGTGAGAAAAATTATACTAGATTTTTGACAGTAATATATGGTCACAGAAGGAAATTCAAATTTATTCATAGGCAAAGTTTTTCAAAAACTATGAATCATATCTGTAAAGTTCATGGAGAAAATTAAATTAATCAGGATGGTAGGAATACACCCGTTCAGTTTCCCAAAAGGCTGCGTCACTCAGTCACACTCTAATAAAGGCTATTGCCTGCTCAGATGAAGTTTCATTTATACTAATATTTAGAAATGGCTCACACTTTAGAGACTGACATTTCTAGAAGCACTCAAATTCAGAATATGAGGAATATGGGTGCAAGAAAAATAATATTTGTTATTTTTTGTCATCACTTGTAAGAGCCCATTACAAAAAAGTTTATCAAACATAGATGAGACACAAACAAACACAGACTGACCTGTGATTGGTCAAACACCATAAGTAACAAGCAACAAATATATGATGTGAAACCTTCTGCATCATGTCTGTCTGACAGGCTGAGTTATAGTACTGTTTATTGTGAATGGGTTTTATATTATTTATAGATCACACAAATATTACTTGTTTTAAATTAAATCAGACAACCTTTGTTTACTGCACCTATTATAAGAGAACTGCCTTAAAACACAGACGACAAATGAAATGTGTGGCAATTGCAGAGTCTGAATTTTTGAAGTGTGATTTAGAAGGGCCTTAAACAGTTGCTTGGCCTTTGCTAGTAAATTTCACCTCCTGAAATATAAAATAGACTGAAGCAAGACTACAATTTTCCTCAGTGCATTCCAATTTTGAGTGTGTGTGCAGTGGAAATTTATACATGACACTGATTTACTCTATCAGTAGATGATCAAACCGGAGGATGTACACCTCTTATCATCACTCAGCGTGGAAACCAGAGACTGCAACAAAAAACTCCCAATGCTTTTCATGGAAACATCTAGTCCTGATACAGTTAGCATCTGGTAAGAATCTTGTCAAACTTTTTACACCTACAGCCAGAGATTACAGTGATGAGTTTTGCCATCATTTATAGAAGCATAGTAATGATAATGATAATGATGCTGCCAAGAGCGCCCAAGAGAAGCACAGATGTGGAGAGATATTATTATGCAATCTGTATTACTGCTCATCTACATAAACTTAGTTGAATAATCCAAGTTGCCACATTTACCATAAATTAAAGAAGAATACTGATATTATAAATGAAATGGTAAGCCATTATATGTGTATTTTTATAGACAAAATTTCTCAGATCACATCATACTTCTGTAGCAAAAGGTCTTTTGAGCAGACAGCCATAATTTCCCATGGAGTGTCTCCAAAGTTACCCCTTTCCAACTGAGTTTCTACCCAGGAATAAGCAGAAGGAAACCAGAGAACTCACGATCTCCTTGGCAGCGCACGGGACCCACGGACACCTTGGCTTCAGACCCAGGCCGGTCGAGGTCTCCAACCACCACCTGGCTGACTGGTAGGTGCTCTTTGTAGGACAACATCCCACTGTCTTTCCTCCTGAATTACAGAGACACAAAAGGAAAGCAATTGTGAAGCCTATGAAATTATTTTCCTTGATCTAAGCACCAAACGAACAGGTATGCAACAATTGCATGCAACTCAAACCTCATTTTAGTTAGCAAGACCACAAAAATTCAATTTATAGTCATGTCTTTGAGCTCCTCATTTCAACTGCAGCAAGTAACCCAGTGCTTTTTTCATGCTTAGACCAAATCACTGTGCACAGTTGCAATATTTTTCCTTTATTATTTCAAGAGATGAACCCAACTGGCATAGAGTGTTCTTTCTTCCAAATAGAAAATGAAATAAGCAATATTTAATGGGGTACTTTGTCTCTCAGCTGGTTTGCCTCTGTGGGGTTTTTTGGTTGCAATATTTGTTTTTGTTGGCTTGTATTCTTTGTTTTGTTCTGTTTGTGTTTTTATTTGGTTTTTTTTATATAAACGCACACATAAAAGGCTAAATTAACCACACAGGAAAAAATGCCCTATATAGAGTGTTAAGATTATAAATTTTTGACAAAAAAGAAAGAAAGAGGAAAAAAACAAATCATCTATTTCTCTCTCTTTTTCCCCCTCTTTCTTTTTTAGCTTTATCCTGCCATGTAATTGGGTATCTAAAGTAAGGAACTTTTTGATCTAAAAAAAAAATCAATTCCTTTGTTCAAAAATATCACAGGATTAAGGATGAACTCAGTATCTAGAAAAGTTAACTGAACCACACAATATGACTATAACTGAGAACTTGTAATGATTTCAGGAAAATGAAAGCCTTTTTCATCTCTAACTTGGATGAGTCCAAGATCGTACTCATTATATTGCTAATAACTGGGCAGCACAGCAGGGATCTGCATGATCTCTGGTAATGTTCAGAGTCTTACAGCAGGACAGCACTGTTTTCCTGTAGCATCACCCTGCCATCACCCTTATTTGGTCCATCTGAAGAGATGGAAACCAAAACATTCTTTTAAAAAGGAGCACAACTGAATTAGTTAAGAAAATAGCCATCACATTTTCGAACAACAGCTCACTGGAACTAAGTCTCTTCTCTGTGATGAAGAGACTAATTAGAGATTTAATTAGCAGAGTTTTCCAAATAGCAGGTGACTGTTTTACTTAATCTGTGTGTTCTTCCCCTTCAGAAAACTTGCTCCTTTGTGTAATGTGACTCTCTGAGTTGCTGAGATCATTAGCCCTCTTTGGCTGGACACAGCTGCAGCAGGTGCTCTGTCGGTGAGGCTGCTACAGGACATTGATAGAAAGGGAGGAAAATGGAGAGCAGGAGCCCTGGCAGGCTGCTCCTGCACATTGTGATCATCCCCAGATCGCCATGCCCTTTACAAAGCATCCTTTTCATCAATTTGGAGACAAGTAGTATAGGAAAAGAAAGATTAAAGGACTTTCCACTTAAGAAAGAAAAAAGTGAATAACAAAGGCAGGTATGCAGACCTAATCTTTGTCACTGCTAAAGACTGCATCCTTGGGACCCACTCTCTTCTAATAGAGGATAAATGTAGGTCATCACTTTACTCTTTATGAGGTTTTCCTCTGAGACTGGCTTTCTCTCCTGATTTTTACTCTTTCAAAGAACATTTTAAAGTCGGACATATCCATTTAAAATAATTCTTTGAAGAGTGGTAAAAGAAAACTATTGGCATTTCTGTTCTTTCTTTCTTTCCTTCCTTCCTTTCTTTCTTTCTTTCTTTCTTTCTTTCTTTCTTTCTTTCTTTCTTTCTTTCTTTCTTTCTTTCTTTCTTTCTTTCTTTCTTTCTTTCTTTCTTTCTTTCTTTCTTTCTTTCTTTCTCTCCTCTTTCACAAAACCAGCTAATATTTCAGCTCCAAATAAGGGTGTGAGAGGGCGGCAGTTTTCCTGTGACCCATAGCTTTCACTTTCTTTGAAGGAAATAGAAAGGAGCAGTAACAATTTTCTCCCTCTTTGCTGATAATTTTTTACTCCTTTTAATATTTTATTTATGCACTTAGTGATATGGTCACTTTAAAGTGTTGCCATGACAATAATTATTAGAGTTCTTTTCAGAAATAGCCTTATTTTCTGGTCATCACTTACTTGTGTCATCATTGTAGCATTTTCCCCCCGTACTGAAACTATTGAGGACTGGGAGTGTTGAACTAAGAGTTGAGAGAGGTGAATTGCCTTTTCACCAGCAGAACCTGGGTAGTTCTTTCCCTCTTAACAAAAATGGGATAATGATGATTTTTGGGCCACTCATGCGCAAATAAGACAAATAGACTTAGAGACTGAATGGCTCTGTTAAGCTTTTCTAACATACTTGTAGTTCCTCTGGACATACTAATCAGTGCTGACAAAATCAAAAAAGTTTTAAACTCAAGACTGATTATTATGCTTGACTTTGTACAACACACTTAGAAATAATCACAGCTCAAACACTCAATTCCTGCAAGTGATAATGCTTCTGACGGTATTTAAAGACTTTGCACATTACTAGGGTGGAGAAAGTCTCTGAAGTTTTTCCTCACCAAAGAAAATCCCCTCAAGAGAATAAAGATTGAATTCAGAGAGTGTCATATTCCTATTAATAGCCAAATGGGAGATGAATGAATCTGATCAAATCCTGTAATTATTACCAGGAGATATTGATGAAATCTCAGTGTAATTTTCTATTCCTAATTTCTTTTCCTATATATAACAGTCTGCAAAGTGCTTCAGGGTGCCTTTGAATGAAAGTAGCAGATATTAGTGTGAGATTTATCATTGTTTTGATTATGATCATCTACTTACTCTTTATAAGCATTCAGTAGTATGTAAAAAAGAAATGCATTTTATATGTATCAGTAAATGACATATTCAAAGTAATGATAAGATCCTGTATCATTAATAATTTGTTTATATAACGATTTAATGCAACCAGACTACTGCTACTGGAGTAATTAATTTTCTCTGATTTTGTTAGACATCACTTAATTATCAGCCCAGCCATACAAAATAAAACAAGTAAGAATGTACTACAGGTAGGAATGGACTCAGTTTTAAAAGATATGGTTTCATGACTTGAGGAACTGAAGTTATTTTGATAATACAAATAAAACACCTACTGGACTGAAAATGAAGTGCTAAGCACATATAATTTGGTGATTAGCAGTGGTTTGAAGAATGCAAACTCCAAAGTATGACAGTTTCAAAGGTATATAATTTTCCACCTCTCACAAGACCCAGGTTTTACTATGTGAGCACCTCTGTATAAATCCCTGCATTTCCATAATCTGAGGGAGGTATAAAGCAGTTTAGTCCACTTAGGATCTGCAAACCAGTGCCTGTAAAAACATTGTGAAGGGCACAGGCATACTAAATGCTGGTATTTTCTCTCATCCAAAAATATCTGGCAAGTATTTTATTTATATTAAAACTGCTAAGCAGAATGAATATTACAGACAATTTAATGAACAATGCAACTTTGGCAGCAAATGTAATAATATGGAAGTGAGTTACTTGGAAATAAACAAGATATAATTAACAGGATTAAAAACAGGGCAAACAAAAACTAGGATTGAAGCAAAACTAATGAAAAAAATTTTGATAAAATTTAGCTAACTTTTTAATAGTCATGTTATGGAGCATTAAAGCCACACTTTCGGATTCACCCTACACCCAGGGCTCTGCCCTTTGGAATTATAAACTGCAGACCTTATACTCTAGGACAAAAGTTTTTATTTGCACTGGGTTTTGCTGTTTTCAGGTATCCTTACAGTTCTTTTGTCCCTTTCCCACATGTCTTGTCACGTCAGATGCCCTTATATGTTAAGTTGGAGCTAATGACTCACCCTTGATTTGTCTGACAAGGGGTATTATGGAAAATTCCTCATTACTGTACAGGATCATAAAAACTGACAGAAGGTCATAACTCAATTTAAGTTTTTTCAATACTCTGGCATTGGACAGGATAAGATCCTTGGAAATACATGGCTCCTGAAAGCAAAAGAAGGGGCTTTTACAGTTAAGACTGATCTTAAGGCAATTAAGCTTTTCTAAAATGCATAAAATATTTTTACTTTTGAGGCCACTCACCTCCTGAAAGTCTAAACAATTTGATCAAAGATCATCTAATCCCAGCCCCCAAATTACTGACATGAATCCCTACTTTGACTTCTATTAGTAAAGATGAATTTTGCCAAAGACACGAGGCTTATGGTGCAGCATTCACAAGTAATCCTGGTTTAGAAATTACAAAGGATTGAGTTGACTAGATTAAATTAATTTAAGGGGAGATACACTGAGAAATTGGTCAGAAATATGTCTCATTAAAAAAAATCCATCAGGAAGGGGACTGAGAGACTTGACACTGGTTCTACAGATTCTCTTGCCTGAAAGGACTTCTTGACTTGCCTTTCAAATAGGAATTTGTAAGAAAGTGAATAACCAGAGAGAAAGGTGAATAATAGAGAGAGAAAATGGGGCTCTGCTTTCTTTTGAACAATATGGAATCAGTTTCCAGTGAAAATCTTCCTGTTCTCAGTATTTGCTCATATTCCAAAAGACCATTTGAGACAGAAAGTTTCTTCAAGCAGAGTGGCACCTCTTAAAATCTTAATTTCTTTAGTGCTGTGTTGAAGCAATGAAGGAAATGTATGGATTCTCTTCTTTTGAGGTCCAGCAACTCTTCTGACTTGACTTTGAATTTTTCTTATTTCTATACTGAGATATTTTTAGAATGAAATCTAGGAATCCTACCATGCTCTAACTGATCTTTGCATCTGTCAACAATTTAATCAATTTTATGTTGGGTTTCAATTTTTTTAAAGTACGTCAGGGAACATATGTGGCATTTCCTTTAGAAGAAAGGCTAAATTGGGATGTCCCTTTCACCTTGGGTAATTACAGAGACAAGATTACTTGGGATTCAGCTGAAGCCAAGAAAAGAAACTTCTGTGAATGTCAAGCTGGAAATGGATTATATGGGATTTTTTAAAGGAAAAATTGACATTGGAAAGGGCAATATGTTGCTCAAATATTTTTTTCCT